GGGGGGCGTACGCGGATGATGGCAGAGTTGGCGATGTAGGCGCCGTACGGGTTGCCGGGGGCGTCGGTGAGGTTGGTGCCCTTCCAGGCGACGAGGCCGCCGCCGCAGGCCCTGTTGGCGAGCACGACGCGTTCGAACCAACTTTAGAAGAGCATGCAGACGTCAAGCTGTTTACTTATCGTACGAACGATGTGGGCTTACGCGGTGCCGAAGCCGAACAGGTCTGCGAAAAAGAGGAAGAAAAAGAATTTAAAAAAAACAACATCGAGAAGGTAAGTTCGAGGATGAAGGTGACGCGAGTGGAGGTATACGGTACAGTCGGTTTGGCCGTAGACGATCGAATCGACGACGTACGTGCTCCCGTTCCGACCGGTGTACCACGTGTCTTGGTAGCTAGCGAACGAGCAGCCGTAGAAGGACGCGTTCGCGTACGATACGTCCGTCACGAGCGCTTGCGAGATCGCGTAGTTGGCCTGTTTTATACATATCAACAATCTCGGTTTAGCATATCCGAACGAGTGGAATATATGCGCTCTATCTGGAGAAAAACGAAACAAAAGGGGGATAAAATCAGAGGGGGACGCATACGGCGAGGTTGGCAAAGTCAACGTTGTAGGTCCGGAAGTCGACGTTGCCGAAATGGGGTTGGAGAGGGGCGCCGGTAGGGCCGGAGCCGATGAGCGCGCCGGCGGCGTTGGGCGACACAACGAGCACGGCGGAGGAGGCGTCGTCTTGGCCGGTGTGCACGAAGGAATCGTTGGAGATGCGGACGAGGTTGGAGAGGGCGGAGGCGTTCGTTGGAGTGAGCGACGTGTTGGCGGGCAGTTGGCCCTGGTATGTGTAGGTTAGGACAAGTGCAAGAGGGGAGGGAGGAGGTCCGAGGGAGGGAGGGGTTCGGACGTACGAGTAGGGTGAGGGACGCTGTGCGGGTGACGTTGACGGTTTCGTGGTAGTCGCCGGCGCCGAGGAGTATGGTGGCGGGAACGCCTTCTTTTCTGTACGAGAAATAGAGAATCAATTGGACGTGTCTCGGAGGAATTGGGACGCGCATACAGGGAGTCGACGGCTGCTTGAATGGAGGAGAAGTTGGCGCGCGCGTCGTTCGCCGAGACGAAGAGAGTGCCGGGTGGGCATCCGAGGAGCGGAGAGACCGATGAGCCCTTCTGGACCTGGCAGGGTAAGTAGGTCGGGGAGAGCCCATTTGTGGGGGTCAGTAGCAGCACGAAAAGGATGAGGCGGGTGAGCGATATCCGAGGCATGACGCCCATCTTTGCGAGAACTAGGGCTACAGGAGTGATGTTCGCGTCTCCTCTGGATCATCTTATATAGACAGCTGAGGTGCACGCGAATAGATGATAAGTGCAGCTGTCGGCCCGCAGGGCTCCGTCGACGGTGTCTGATCCAGCGCAGGTGACCATAGGATCCTTGGATTCCCCAGACTGACGCAAAGGCGGACGCAAGTCGGATTATATGCGTTCAGAATGGCATCATCGGTCTCCGAGGTATGTAAAACTTGCAGCGCCGATCTCCAGAGGAATTCCAGAGCACCCGTGCGGTGTGAAGGTCCTGATCGCGCTCAAATCGACCATTCGACGACCACTTGCACGTTCGTCGTCCACAAGAATAATAAAAGAAAGCGCGCCGTGGCCATCGGCGGGTCGTGGCTCGCGAGGAGGAGGTGGTGGCCGTCCTGCAAGCCGTCGAGCCGTGGGAGCACACGCGTCGAGGTCGCTACTGAACGCCAGCCGCCGAAATTTGGTGATTCATTCACCACCGCCGCCTTCCCCTGCATTCCCTCACCACGCCATGTCGCGTCCCCAGTCCCGCCCCGCCACCACCGCGTCCCCCGCCCCGAAGCCCGTCCCCGGCCAGCCGCCGTACCAGGTCAATACCCAGACAAAAGTCATCGACACCACCCACGGACGCCTGCTCTGCATTGCCGACATACGCGGCAAGCTTTCCTCCCTCAATGACCTCGCACGCGAGGCGAACGCGAAGGCCATCATACACACAGGAGATTTTGGCTTCTTTGGTGAGCGTTCGGTCTCTTTGTTCGCGAGAATGCGGATCCTGTGTCGCGTCCGATTTGCGGGTTGCGTATACGGTCGGTGGCGTGCGTAGCGGACGTGCCACGGCTTTTCTTACGTGCTCGGGCCCCAGTCGATCGTATGCTGACTATATCTCGCATACCCAGAGGCCAACAGTCTCGACCGCATCAACGACCGCACCCTCCGCCACCTCACGCAATATTCGCCGCTCATCCCCAACGCGCAACGCACGCACCTCCTCGCCCCGGACAACCCGCCATCCGCCATCCGACAGACGGTCACCATCTCCCTCCTCTCCGAATTCCCCCTCCTCCTCTCCGGCCAGATCAAGCTCCACGTGCCCGTCTTCACCCTCTGGGGCGCGTGCGAGGACGTGCAGGTCCTCGAGAAGTTCCGCTCCGGGGCGTACGCGGTCGAGAACCTGCACGTCGTCGACGAGGCGACGACGCGCTGCCTCGACGTCGGCGGCGTCAAGCTGCGCCTGCTCGGGCTCGGCGGCGCGCTCGTGCCGCACAAGATGTTCGACAACGGGGACGGGTCCGCGACGATCGCGGGCGGCCAGGGCACGATGTGGACGACGGCGCTGCAGATCGGCGAGCTCGTGGACACGGCGCAGCGCGTGTTCGACCCGACCGAGACCCGGCTGCTGCTCACGCACGCCTCGCCCGGGCGCGAGGGCCTCGTCGCGCAGCTCGCGCTCGTCGTCAAGGCCGACCTCACCATCTCCGCCGGCCTCCACTTCCGCTACGCGAGCTCGTACAACGAGTTCAGCGTCCAGCCCGACTTTGAGGGCTTCCGCCGCAAACTGCTCGTCGGCAAGGACAGCTACGAGCGCGTGTGGGAGAGCGTCAAGGGCCAGGTCGACGCCGTCATCGACGAGCACCAGCGCGTCCTCCTCGACAAGTTCCTCTCCGTCGTCGAGCGCGTCCCCGCCGCGCAGGGCGGGGCCGGCGCCCCCGTCGGGCCCGGCGCCGGCATGACGGGCGAAGAACCCGCGTGGAAGAACACGTGGAACTGGAACCTGTGCGACGCCGCCTACGGCTCGCTCGTCCTCGACATCAAGGAGGGCCGGGTCAGCGCCGAGCTCAAGAGCCAAGGTTCGTACACCATCCTCCTTCGTCATCCAGACGACCCGCTGACGCTTCTCGTGCAGGGTTCAATTACGCGTACAGGCGCACCGCTACCGTACAAGCCACCCCGGCCTCCGCAACAGCGCCGCTGCCGCCCGCTGCACCCGCAGACAACAAGACGACCAACCCCGACCGGGCGACCGCCCCGAGCACCGCGCAAGCGTCCGCCGCCGCCTCGGGCCGCGCGACGCCCGCGCCCGCGAACGGGACCGCGACGCCGCCGGCTGACAAGGCCGAGCGCGAGCGGCTGAAGAAGCAGCAGAAGAAGGAGCGCAAGCAGGCCGAGCGCGAGGCGGCGCGCGAGCAGGAGAAAGCGGAGAAGGAGAAGGAGGGCGGGGCGAAGGAGGGCGAGAAGGAGAAGGAGAAGGAGAAGAAGGACGAGCAGCCATCGACTTCCGGCGCGGAGCCGGCGTCGCCCGCGACGGAGAGCGCGGGCGCGCGGACGCCCGTGAACCGCAAGCCGCCGCGCCACCCGTGGACGCTGTTCGTGCGCCTGCAGGAGCCGGCGGAGGAGCCCGAGCTCCGCACGTTCTTCGCCGCGTCGGCCGCGGGCATCACCCGCGTCACGTACCCGCAGACGTACGCCGGCCGGGCGCGGAAGATCGCGTACGTCGAGTTCGGGGACGAGGAGGCGATGAAGGCCGGGCTCGAGGGCCATGCCGAGGTCGGTGTCGGAATCGCGCCTTGTAATCCCGCCTTCACGCGATCGCTGACACCTTTTTTGTCCTTTTTTTTCATTCTTGACAGAAATATAAGGAGACGGTGCCGGAGGTGAAGATCGCGCAGGATCGGGAGCAGCGTGAAGGACAGGAAGGTTACAGGGGGCGCGGACGCGGACGAGGCCGTGGTGGGTTCGCGGCGCGCGGGTTCGCCGCTGCCGGCCTCACGCGGGGCGGCGGCCCGCCCAAACCCAACGGCGGCGGCGCGGGCGGCGATGGCGCTTGAAAAAAAAGGACGAGGGAGTGTCGATAGTTGGGAGGGAGGAAGAAGGGTTTTCGTTGTTTCTGCTCGTTGATACGAAGTTGTCTGCCTATCGTGGTATGCTCTTTAATCCTCATCTTTTGTGCGGTTTTGAGATGTTTGTATGTTGTTTGTTGTCCTTCGTCTGTATATGTCACTTTTGCGCGTTGGTTCTTCTCTCGCCTCTGACACTGTGGGTGCTGCGATGGCATCGCGTATGCCGGCTACACATGGCAGCTAGCGTCTCTCCCTCGTCCCTAAGCTTTGCTTCAGCTTCCACGATCTCACCGTAGCCTTCCCTGAATAAAGCTATGTACATTGTTCCGCGTTCCTGCGCTATAACACATTTACAGCTTGACCACGAGGCGGCCATACAGCAGTATAAATCCGCACCGGCCGGATCACTGGCCTCCTCGTCAAGCATATCGCTTCCCCCGCCCTGTTTTCGTACAACAACGATAATCGTTGGCTTCGCGCTCATAAAATCCACGCAGAAAGAGTCTAGGACCTTCAGGGCTTTTTGACGCGGACGTTGCGACTGAACCGAGTTTCGTGGCGCCAACTCTTGAATTACTGCTATGGATTTGGATGGTCAGGCACATGCACACGTAACGCTGGAATGTGCGTCCATCCTATTCGCTTCTGCGATCGTCACGGCTGAAGGGGTGCATACAATCTTAAGCCGGGCGTTCTGAGGCCTTTGACCCCGGCTCGACGACGGAAAACCCTCCTAATCATCGTCAACGCCAACCAGGGACGTTTGGTGACGTGAGTAGTCGATTCTTCCGTCTCGAGCATACTGAACATGCTCGTACATAGCGCGAGGTCAATGATTTCCTCAGGACAATCTTGCCAGAGATAAGAAATGCCATAGCCTTGTCTGCGTCCCCGGAAACAGAGTCGACGAAGGGAGGGCCAAGGTTCGTCCGATTAGCCTTGATATCTACGTGCTATACCACTAAAGCGTGATATCCACATTCTGCAGAGGCATAGATAAAGAGCAACAGAAACATGTTACCTTTCTCAATCCTCAGGTTTCAAATGAACAGCACAAGGAACCGGCGGAGAGTAGTACGCGACTTCCGAACTTGAATCAGTGGGGATGGCATCTGACTTTGATTCATAGATGTATTGGCGCCTGTTTCTGCCAAAGCTCCTTCGGGGACGACGAGCGCATCACGGCCTGGGCTTGTCAACACCCATGATCGGCGGACCGATTCCGACACACGGAGGTTGGGCTACACAGCGACCCCTATATGCTATATTAACGTGTATACTGTGTTTTCCAGACATAAATCAAAGAAGAGCGCTCTCGAACATCCAGGCGGGCAGCCTTTGTCTCCTCAAACCAAGGCGGACGCAGAAGAGGTGTTGAGTGCTTGGTCAACTTGCGCGGCGCGTGTCCGCGAGCATGATATAGTGATGCTGAAAAGATGGCAAGATGAAATGGATACCCTTCTGATCTTCGTCAGTTGCCCATTATCGTCCATTTGATACCGCGCTCATTACTTGACTAGGCTGGTCTATCCTCGGCCGTGTTTACCGCCTTCGTGATCGAAAGTTGGCCAATGCTGCAGGCTGACCCGACGACAGTCACAACGCAGATTTTGCTCCGCATCTCCCAGCAACTCGGAAGTTTGACCGTCAACACTGCATTCGTGAACTCGACTGTTCCTCCTTTCTCGTCCATGGAAGGGCTAGAGCTACCAACAGCACCGTCCTCTCCCAGCGTCAGAATCAACATTCTTTGGTTTTTCAGCCTGACGTTGTCGCTCGTGTCTGCCCTCGGTTCCATCCTCATCAAACAGTGGGTTCGCGAGTATAGCACAATATTCGACACATCCCATCCTCAGGACGGTATGCGACTGCGTCAACTACGCTATGACGGCTTGAAGCGGTGGGGAGTCCCTCAGATGATCACTCTCCTTCCCATGCTACTGCAGCTTGCCATCGCTTTGTTCCTGTGTGGACTCCTGGACTTGTTGTGGAGGCTGGATCGCACCGTCGCGATTGCCTTGACAGCGTTAATCTCAGCCTCTCTTGGAGGCGTCATCGCCACAATCCTCTGGCCATCCTTCAGTCCCGACTGCGCGTACAAGTCTCCCGCAGCGTGGGCTTTCCTAAAAACGAGCCTGGTCTACAGGGGCGTGATGGGCCGGTGTTTGGAACTCTTGTCTCGCTGTGTCATTCTGGTAGAGTCTTACATTGGTCGAAGTTTCGGAGTGTCGTCGAGAATTGCGTCTACCGCTCGCTATTTGTTAACGACATTTCGGCGGTGCAAGAGCTGGTCTGACCATGACATGATCACCCTTCGAATACTGGAGAAGTCGCGGTCCTCGCAGCAGAGCCACGGGTTTACCATGGCTCTGACCGGGCGGGCGCTAGTGTGGGTCTGCTCGCACTTCAGCGACTATGGTGTGTCAACATTGATGCGACCATGTATTGACGCGCTGGATGCCGATCAACGGGCAAATGTTATTTTCACTATTATAATCCGCCAACTCGGATTCCATAATCTCCACTCCTTCCGGACATCGCTCAAGTATGACGGCGGCCTGATAGTGCGGAACCAGTGGTTCTGGGGCTCAAAGGCGAAACAGATTGGACAGAGCCACGAATTGCAACTGCTAGTCGACCTGGCACCTCTCGCTGTTCACATGGATGGCCGAGATTCCGAGATATCTCTACTGGATATCGTCTTGTTATTGCAACAGCTCGTACCGGAGCTGCCGCGTCGCTCGGCTGAATTTGACGCAAAATATCTACGGCTTCTGTCTGGAGATCTCTGGACTTTGGACCTCACGACCGAGTTTGGCATGAACGTACAGAAGGCCGCCGCGAGGGCGCTTCTCGGATTTTCCAAGCATGACATCAGACCACGAGTGGATTCAGACAGCGAGTTTATTGTGTTGCATCGATGATCGCACCATCTGACATTATTTCAGCCCTCGTTAGACTCCTCAAGCTCGTCTCACAGATCCAGGATTTGTCAAAGGCAGGCAAACAACATCATACCCACGCAATATTCCGTGACATTATCTCTGGAACCCTGGAGCTTCTTCGTTCCAATCGCCTTCCTTCGTACGGCCGACCGGAAGGCGTGACGACGTTGCTTGCTGTACGACGGGCTGTGGAAGCTTTAGCTGAGATTTCGTTCAACGAGAACGATGACGGAAAGCTGGCTTATCCACTCGAAGTCAGAGAAGAGTGGTTTTCCATTATTCTGCATGTTGCGAAACGTCACAAGGACATCTTGTCTCCACAGTTTACTAAGATTCTCAACCAAGGACTCCGCAAGGGCGCTCATCGAGAGACCCCTGCAGTACGCGAGCTTCTGGAGATTCCGTATCTCCAAAACACCGAGAAACCACTCCTCAAGCTAGCCTGCGCTGTCGGAGAGGCTCTTGACGGCGAGAAGTCTTATCCACGCACGAAGTCAGTTTTGGTGGAGATATCGAGAGATATTCGATCCAATCGACGACATGCCGCCCTTGCTAAAGCGGTAGATCCCACGGTAAAGCTCATCCGATTCATACAGGAAAACTCGGAGCTGTCTCGTAATGATCGGCACGGACTCGTTCTGCAGGCTATCGTTCTGCTCGACGAACTCGCACGCTCCGCGCTAGCACAAACGCTCGAAGGATCGACGTTCATGTCAGAATATGCGTCATTCCTTGCGCATCTAATATTGTATAGCTCAAGCCCTACGTTGAAATGGCGCTGCGCCAACTCATTGCAGTTGCTCTCGTTCGGCGAGCAATTCAACATGGACCCAGTGGGTGGGTGCTATCATGCGTTTGACAAAGCGAGATACCATGCTCATCGACGTCGGCGTCAGCTGCGGGCAAGGTTGTGCAGGCATCGTCGCGGATCCCTATGACTGCGCCTAGCGCATGGCGTGATGAGCGAGAACTCGAACGAGACGTTACCACAGCGGCACTCAGAGCAATCTCCATTTGTCCAGGAGCGTTCGAAGGGGATGAAGTGGCATCCAAATTACGTATTTTATTAGAACGGCAAGCCGTCCTGGCGGAGCGGAACAACCAAGAGAATGTCCGTTGCGAGATCCCACCAGATTGTCTGCTCATGATTGCCAGGGCACGCAAGGAACTCCTTCCGCTACGACTTGTCAAGGCCCTCCATGCCGCGGACAGTCTCGGCCTCGTTGATAGAACGCCGCTGGGAATCTGGCTCCCGTGGCACGTCCTACTCCCTTTCAACGTGGAGGAACGCAAGACCCCTGCCATTACCTTGCTCATGCGTCTCTACCGCGCCGAACTTGGCATGGAGTCCCCGGTACAGCAGTCTGCTGCCGGACCAGAACGGCCTCCAGATCCCTCTAACGTGGTCCTTGATCATATATCATCTAGTCCGCAAAAGGACAATAGGAACACGTCGGAATTCTTCAAGGCAGCGGATGTCGAACTAGAAGGCTGGATTAGCGGTTTCAATGTGGGCTACAGGCCGCTAGAATCCGGTCAAGTCAGCGTCGACGCTGGCGTCACGGGAAACCCTGTCGATATGGATGTCACGGAGGCGTTCAGAAGGGCCTGGTTCCAGGTGTTTGTCCGCAATGCTCACAATCGCAACAACTACCTCGTCCCTGCCCTATACCAGGCTGTTCAGCGCGGAGAGATATGGGATCAAAATATCGCTCACATGATAGAGCGGCTCTACGAGGAAGATGTTGAGAGTCGTACTCAACAAATGAATCATTCACGCCTGTACCCAGAGGAGGGAAGTCAGGACGTCGGAACACTCGAAGACCTAGACGGCGTTTTGGCTGAGGCGCCGCCTCCATCAGACGGGCTTGGTGACGTACCAATTATGGATGAAGAGTTCTCGCCACTCCCTACGGCTGATCATGGTACTTATACATCATCTAACAACCATACTGTGGGCGTAGAGTTAGAGTACCCGGGAACTCAAGAAGTATCTGATGGGCCGGCAGCAGACTCGAACACAGGCGTTGCACCACAAGATATTGCTGACCTTCATGGGTTTATAACAGAGCTGCTCCATGAACCGGAAGAGACATCGAACATAGGTAACGACACACAGGGCTCTGTGCAGGAGAAGGTGATGGATCCTCAGAGGGACAGCGCTAGCGATAGTGATCCATCAACACCCAAGAGATCGCAACATCTCGATGCCCCGAACGGGCCTGTTGGTGTCATATCGATAAAGCAGACAGCAGGTGACGACCTGAGTCCGGCGCTGGGAGAGGCCGCTAGCTCTGTCAACCGCATCGCCTTCTGAAGGTGGGCTGCAACCGCAATCTTGGACATCAGCTCACGCTCGTTCTAGATCTAGCGATGAGAACAACTCCAGACGAGCCAGTGAAAATTGATCTTGATTTGGCAGGTCTGCAGCCACCAGAACAATGGTCATCAGGTGGCACCCTGAATCTGTAGGGTGATAAGGGGAACGGAAAGAGAGGCAATGCGAGGGGATTGTGATTCGGCTGACGAACTCTTGGATTTAACAAAATCACCGATATTCATATAATTTTCGGACAATATGATTAGGTGTGCACCTCGCATACGGCGATGGGTCGACTTGAACGAAGTATGCGTCGGCAGAATGAGCCAAGGAAGGGCGATGCTGTGAACTGCCGTGATCCGCACCGATATCTGAGCGGTTTAGGAGAAAACAGGCCTGGCCATGTCATCAGCCGTAGCGCGGTAAGAGAGTGATTGGAATGATGAAAGAGAAGGACAGAGCGAGATGAACTCGGAACGGAGTCGCAAGTCGTAAAGAAAGGCGCAAATAAGCGCCCGCAGCCTGCCGAAACACGCGAGCGCCTCTTCCGCGGGCCCACCGACGCTCATCCTCATCCTCTCTCACTGGACTCTTGACGATGGCCGGACGAGCTGCTCTATTCGCATCCTTGCTGCCAGCAGCCCTCGCTTTCTCGGACACGCTCCCGGTCGTGGCATGGACGTCGCACAGGTACGCAATTGCTGCCTTGCTCAAGTTTCACGACTCAACCGTAGCATTACGCTCTACTAGATCCAGCTTGCTTGACTCCTTCGACACATCTCACGGCTCGAACCTCGCAAACGTCGTGGATCGTATCTTGTCGGCGGACGACCTATGCGCACATGATGCCGTGATTGTTGTGGACCAACCCGGCGTACGTCTAAGGAACCTCTGACGCACAGTCACATCCTGATCGTTTCTTGCGCGTAGCTTCACGCCTCGGACCTCCGTACTCTCGCACCCTCCACCCTTCTCGCGCAAAATCTTGCCAGCGCACCCTCCTCCCTCCAGCTGCCTTACGTCGCCCACTCAGGTGCCAACGCGCTGCGCACCAGCGCAGAACGACTCGCGGCCCGCTGCGGATCTTCCCTCACGCGAGTTTCGCCAGGCTCGTTTCCGGAGAAGCATGCCTCGTCGTCGAAGCACGTCGTGTGCGTCGATATGCCACATTTGATGCACGACGGGTCCGGCGCGGGGAGGAAGAACGCCGTCGCCACGCACGGTGCGCATATACCCGCTTTCTCTCGCCGTGGCACGTATAAATTGACTTTATCATGGTGCACCTGCAGAGGCGATGCTCTCGGACGCTCTGCACAACCTCGCCACGCTCTTCCCGGACCACCTCGTTCTCCTCACAGGCTCCGTACCCTCCTCGTCTCTCCGCAACCGTCAATTCGATTCGGACCCGGAACTCGCGCCCCTACCCGGACCCGTGGTCCCTCAATCTCTCCCGCCTCTTGAGAACGCAACTTCGCAGTTGGTCGCGCCCTCCAACGTTACCTTCGGTGGTACGTCACCCCCTCTCTCGTCCCCGCTTGTCCCAATCTTTCGCTCTGAACTCGTAAACTGAATGCGTGACGAGCAGACGGCATCTTCGCGCGTTACCAGCTGCTCACGACACCACTGATCACCTCGCTACTCGTTGCCTTCTTCGTCGTCGTGCCCGCCGTGATGCTTGGCATCTCAGCCCTCGCCTCCATTCAGGCGCCTCGCATGGACGCTCCCGGCGCGAAGGGTTTCAACGCGGACGTCAAGAAGAACCAGTAAATCCCCGGACGGCACCGTGCGCTCAGCGAAGGGCGCTAGGGATGGTGGACTCTCGGTATATTGTTTGTCGTTAAAGTTGCGCTTGGACTTTCCCAGCTGTCGTGCGTGCGTAGGTGTATATTCTAGCAAGAAATCGATAATTGCAATCGAGCAGGATTTTTTGCCCGAGGATACCGAAACATGGCCTGAAGAGAGGATGCCGCATGTCAGGAATCCAGCTAAGCGGCCGGTGTGCTGCGCCTCGGGTGACAATTGAAGAAGCACGTTCCCGAGACGTTTTCGCGTACGCGATCACTCTGATGGCTTCTTCTCCGTTCAATGAAGTCCTGCTTACCTCGCGGCGTCCAATCGGCGTAGGGCCCGGGACGCGACCGTGACGGAAATAGTATGATCGGCGGCGCTTGCAGAGCCCTTCACCGTCCTTCACGTTCGCGGCGAGGAACGCCGCACCATACGAGCACTTGGGTGCTGTTCTCTGACATACGACCTCTCAGACACAGAGGTATAAAAGAAGGGGGACTGGTCCACTCATCCCTCAGTCGAACAGTCGAGTTCAACGCACCCCAAGCAGCCCAACCCAAATCACCCTCCAGCCGTCCTCCGCAATGTTCGCTCGTTCGACCCTCTTCGTCGCCGCCGCCGCGCTCTTCGCCGTCGCCTCCGCCGACCAGTGCAACACCGGCTCTATCCAGTGCTGCAACTCCGTCCAGGAGGTAAGCCCCCCTCGGCGTTTTGGCCATGCTTGTCGACGATGATTCTGACGCTACGTTTCCTTTCGTTGTTTCAGAGTCACTCCGACGTCGTCTCTACGCTCGTGAGCCTTCTCGGCATCGACCTCAGCGGCGTCACCGGCCAAGTCGGCATGAACTGCAGCCCCATCTCCGGCGTCGGCGTGGGTGGCAACAGCTGCAACGCTGCTCCCGTTTGCTGCGAGAACAACAGCTTCGTACGTCCTGTCCTGTTTATGCCGCACATATCGATTGACGCTGACGTGACCTGGTCACCAGAACGGCCTGATCGCCCTTGGCTGCATTCCCATCAACGTTTCGCTTTGAACTTCGACTGCGATGACGGCCTAGATATACTCTATGAACTACCGCATAATATGAGATGAAGCAATTCATTCTTTTGCTCTCACTTATCGGGTGTGAATCACGAGCTGCTTTCCTGACTCCGAGCTCGATAATGCGCGTTCGTTTGCGGAGCCGTCGCTCGATTGCTCAACTGAACGCAGCTCGCATGATCGCTGAATTCGCATCGACTTGTCTCTCGCTCACTGGTCTTCATGGTTTGACGAAAAGACACTGCACAGGGGAATTGAAGGTGCTGCGGGGGGCGATAATGCATAATGCTAAGTACGTTCACTACACATCATGCGAGCGCGTATCCCGAGTCTGGTAGATGACTATCCAGACAGGTTGCGTGTACCCCCTCTGCTGTATCGAGGCTGAGATGGCGAATATGTGAGCGGTTGCGCGATTTTGAGCAGGCTATGTCACGTACACGTATGCTTCACGGAGGTGCGACACAAAGCTTCGGATTGAAAAAGCAAGGCGTCGTATCCTCGCCGCGCTCGGCGATATATCCCAAGTCTGATACACGGTGAGCGAGCCGTGATGTCGGAGCCTCACATTTACACGAACCTTTAGTTGCAACCGGTCCACAATTTACGCCGAGAGCGTGCAGTGCCAGTACGACGAAGAAGGCGAGGACTTTCATAATGTCAGGACAATGCGGTGTAACGAAGGTTGATCAGCTCTGGAGTGATCGAGAAGGTACCTCCAACCTGGTTCGAATTTATAGCCAGACGAAGGTCCCCGGCGACTCGTGCCCCTGCAGGAGCTGACCTACCAAATCCAGATGCCATTCAGAACGATACGCACTAGATTTCGTAGAGTCGATGCAGTCGCAGTCGGGTGATAGCATAGGGTGGCTGTCGAGGGTCGATGAAACACGGGCTTCGGACTCGTAGGGTGCCTGAAAACCAGCTTTATCGTCCGAAACCCGAGAGATGTCCGCAGCTGAAGTGAGCACTTCGGGCAATTCATGCTAGTAGGCTGTCGTGCCGTTGCAGATAAGCCGGAGAGCCAGCGGCGAGAATCTTGTCAGTGCATTTCTACGGAACTGCAAAGGCGTTCATCTGATGGCATGGCGCATAGTATAAAGAGCTTTACACGGTGACTCCGTATGGCGTCGTCGAAGTATTTCGTTGGACTATGATAGGTACCTGCAAGTAGTACACGATCAGCCTGGGTTACGCTCGATGGATGATATCGACCGGCCGGGGTACCGTTTCTCGTGTAGGTTGGCGCTATTGGAGGATTGCTTGGCGACATAGCCGTTTTTAAGGAGACGCTACGGACATGTACAGGGTGGCATTATAAATTTCACGCGCGAACGCAACGAAGACCGAGGATCAATGGTAAATCTGCGCCGCTGCGCGTACAGTTCAATGACCTGGCGCCCTCGAACTCGGGTCAACGAAGGGTTTTACTTGACCACCAACTACTTCTTGGCCTCGCCGCTCCAGATGCGGACCCGGTGTCAATGCGCGGGCAGAGCTCGAGTTACTACGCGCGCTCGAGATCTAGGTAGTGCGGATGGTGGGGGAACGTGGATGTGAAGCCAGCGAGTGGGGCACGTGGATGCGGCCGGAGGCGAAGCACCGAAGTACTGTACCTGTGGTGAGAACGACTGTCATTTCAAATTAGAGGCTGCTCTGTGGAAACTACCGGCGAGGGCGTGTACGGCTGCAGGTAGATGCGTTGGATGTAAGTCGGAGCTCTGTCGTGGTGTCGTACCGGATTGACTCACTCGTGTCATGTTCGCTATACAGTCTCCAATGGCTATCGGGACTGGCCTTGCACACATAATGAGGCCTGCGCATGTCCCAGCCGCTTTTCTCGTCCCTCCTACGTTTCTGAGTGACAGCGTGCATCCGAAGTACGTACACGCAGGAAGACGAATCCCAATGAAGGTACAATCGCCAGGCCGCATGCTGCCCAGGGTACTCACTAATGAACGCAGACGCCCAAGAAGCTCACCGCCTCGAACCTTCGTTCATAGCCCCATCGCCACGCAGTATCCGCCTGTAGCCTTATATCTCCTCCGTCGTCTGTTGGAGTCCCGTTCTAGTTTCCCTCGCACTCTCGCTATACCTCGTCTGCCCGTGATGAATGCTCACGAAGATCAGAGAGGGGAGAGGATAGATCGGGCGCTCGAGAGCGGAAAGACGTTCTTGTCCGTGCTGGAGGTCCTGACCGACGGCGCCGTTGTCTGCGGACCCCTCAAGGTCGCCGTCCAGCTCTCGAAGGGACTGCTCGAGGCTGTCGAGGTCTGTCCTTTGGTAGTTTGCATGTCGAAGACGCAGCTCTGACGCACCGCTGCAGAAAGCCCGGAAGAACCGGAAGGACTGCAAGGACCTCGCCCACGACACGTTCAAGTTGATTTTCATTATCGTCGAGGTTTTGAAGGGAAAGACCGACAAAGACGTACCCGAGCGCCTCAAGCTTCGTCTGGAAGATGTGGCTGAGTGCGTCGTACTGCTGTACAGCGGAGCACTTTCCCTCATGTCTATCAATGCGTCGATAGTGTCCTGCTGCAAGTAAAAGACGGTCTTGAGCAGCTAAAACTGAACAAAAACTTCTCGTTCGCATCGCTGTGCAAGGCGCTTCGGAGGCGTAACTTGGTGGCGGAGGAGATATCAGGATACCGAGATCAGATCAATGCGTGTCTACAACGTTTCCAGGTGCGATCGTTCACGTTGCAGTACCTATTGGACCTCATCATTCATTCAATACAGTTCGCCGTCACTAACAATCTTGTCCTGGACATGAGTATGGGTTTTGCGAGGCTCGAAGGCATGATCCATAACATCGGCGGGAACTTCGACGCATTCCCGGTTAGCTCTCTGCATTTCGAGCGCTTGATCCTATTCATTGATCATCTGCTTCCAGACCGCCGCCCCCGTCCTGCCAAAGTCAGTTGTCCGCTCGTCCTCCCTTTGCACGTGCTGACGGCTTCCTCCAGTCTTCCCATATCGTCCGTCAAACCTCCGCTTTACTTCTTCGGACGGGACGACCTCGTGACCGAACTGGTCGGCAAATTCACCGGGACCACCCAGCATCACGTCGCCCTTCTCGGCACTGGCGGCATCGGAAAGACTTCCGTCGCGTTGTCCGTCATAGACCACGAAACCGTCAAGTCAAAGCATCGCTGCTCCTTCATCCGTTGTGATCCCATCCTCACCGCCCCATCCCTCGTTCTCGCCATCATCCAGGGCATCACAGGCAGCAACGCCTCGCAAGGTGGTGATCTGGTCGCCAAACTCGAATTGACCTTGCGAGCTGCCGGCCCGGTCATCCTTGTCCTGGACAATTTCGAGAGTCCGTGGGATGCTGGAGGGACTCGAGGGGATCTTGGCGATGTGCTCCGCACGCTGACCGCGTTGCCGAATGTGCAGCTGATAGTGACCATGCGAGGTGATTCCCCGCCGGCAAAGGACAAGGTTCATTGGTCGCCCGTATTTCTCGAACCTTTGTCGTCTAGCTCTGCAAGGAAGCTGTTCCTGTCGGTGAATCCCGATACCCCGGAAGACGAGCATCTCGACCTCGATCGCCTCCTCGAGCAGTGCGGCGGCCTACCTCTAGCCATCAATCTGCTCGCCAACGTGAAGGGGACGTTGCCTTGCTCCAGCCTCCTGCGGCAATGGAAGACTCGGTCCACTTCCCTGCTCAAGGACGAGCACCAGTCTCCCACACGTCTCACAAGTCTAGACGTATCCATTTCTTTGTCCCTCCATTCTGCGGCGATGAAAAGCGTTCCAGAGGCGAAGGAACTGTTGGCCTTGATATGCCGGCTTCCCGACGGCATCAAAGGCGGGATCCAGCAGCTCATTGACATGGACCTCGGGCTGGAGGACGTGGATGGCGCTCTTGCGACTATACTTTCAGCTGCCTTGGCATTCAGGGGTCCTGACGGCAGCATCCAAGTGCTTTCGCCCATTCGTCAATACGTCTTGACACATCATGTCCTTGCGAAGCGGCAGTTAGAAGCATTGGTGCGCTATTACGTTGATCTGGTCAACGAACACGCCGACAAGGAACCTGGGGACGAGGGGTTCAAACATGCCTACGACATTCTCACGCCCGAGATGGGCAACATCATCTTCCTGTTCAAGGAGGAACTCAACCCGAACAAGGGCAACCCTCAAGCCATCGCTCGGGCAGCTTTCGAGTTCACCGCTTTTCAATACTGGTCACGGCCCTCGACCGAGCTCATCGATGTATTACTAGGAGATTGGGGCGACTATGACATGGGTGTTTCACATGCTGATGGCTTGATTGCCCGGGCAAAGATGTTGACGCGGATGGACAAGTATCCGCCAGCGCAGAATGACCTTGAAGCTGCCCTACAGGAGTCTAACCTGGCCGGCGACCAAGCGGCAGTGGGACGTTGTCAGCAAAGTTTGGGCGACATCCATCGCATGCGCCACGAGTACGACGAGGCGATCGAGAAGCTCACTCGGGCTCTCGAGGTGTTCTCCAAGATCGGAGACCGGCTCGGGGGCAGCGCAATGCCAGCAAAGCTTGGGC